CCCCCCCTAGAAAAGGCAACAATAAGGAAGGGAAAGTTTTTTTTTTAAAGAAAGGCCTTGACCCCCCCAGAAATGGGAGCAGTTATGGGACTATGTAAGAACCACCTTGTGGGAGAGGCCACCCCATGGGAGCTGTGGCCTCTAGTAACACCAGTCTGTTTTTTTTTTAGAGACAGGAGAAAACCCCCCCAATACTCCTACTTCTCTCTTCCGCTAACCTTTTTTTTTTTGCAGTGCCTCCCACCCCCCCCATCCTATCCAAGGCCACAGGACAAAGGGGTTTTTTTTTTAAAGCCCAAAATTTTCCCCCCCCCAGAACTCAGAGGAGAGTGGGGTGAGTCTTTTTTTTTTATAGGGAGATGTTGGCCCCCCCGAACAAGGTTTCAGTTACGTGAGATAAGTTTTTTTTTTTGATCTAATGAACAACCCCCCCCAGTTAACAATACTGTGGTGTATACTTGAATTTTTTTTTTAGGGTAGATCTTAAGCCCCCCCACTACACCAAAAAAAAAAAAAAGAAAGAATTTTTTTTTTAAGGGAAGGGGAGGTCCCCCCCGAAGGAAGGAAGGAAGGGAAAGAAAGAAATTTTTTTTTTGTAATGTGATGGATACCCCCCCTAGCTTGATCATGGTGATTATTTCACAATGTTTACATATATCAAATCATCAAGTAGTACACTTTAAATATATATAATTTTAAATTGTCAATTTTTTTTTTGTAAAGCTGGAAAAACCCCCCCGTTAAATAAAAAAAGAAAGTTACCAAATGTTTTTTTTTTAAAAGTTTATTGGGACCCCCCCAGAAGAATCAGCAGAGGACATATGATTTCTTGGGATTTGGGGGGCCATTAAGCTACTAAGATTTCGTTTCACTTCAGTTTGAATAGTGCATTTTTTTTTTTTATCATTCATTTATCCCCCCCATATTTATTAAGCACCTCCTAAATGCCTCTTTTTTTTTTAGGCATCTCAGTGTGCCCCCCCCACCATCTCTGACTTCAAGGATCTTAGTGGTGGGGTGGCAGGGTGCATCCGGTAGAGAGGTAATGCTAAAATGGGGCTCACCCTGGGTTGCTAAGGAAGCAAGGCAAGGTATTTTACCCACCCGTTGAGTTCCGAAAGCTTCTATGGAGAATTTTTTTTTTGGGGGCTTCCTGAAGCCCCCCCGGGAGTGGGCAAGTAGAATAACTGGGGACTTTTTTTTTTTGAATGTCCAGTAGGCCCCCCCGTGAGTTCCAGGATTATGTGAAGTTTCCTTTTTTTTTTTTGAGGGAGGGAATGTCCCCCCCGGGTACATGAGGTGGAGTGGGGAGATACATTTTTTTTTTGTTGCACCCAGACCTCCCCCCCGGAATTTGGAATCTATCCTCAAAGCACTGTTTTTTTTTTGGTGGTTTCTAGAAGCCCCCCCTCATTGCCAGATAATGAAATCAGAGACAAAAAGGACTAGTGGAGAAACCAGTGATGGGAAAGACCAATTTGTGTATGATTTTAATGGTAATTTTTTTTTTAACTTACTCAAAAAGCCCCCCCCCAAATGAAGATCTGTTGAGCAAGCACCTTTTTTTTTTTTTTCCAAGAAAATGACCCCCCCGTTTGGAACTTCCAGGCCAATTGAATTGAAGTGTTTTTGTATAGTTAGCTTAAATAACCAAATGATGAAATCAATCCTCCAAATTGTCAGTTTTTTTTTTGTTCAGAAAGCTCTTCCCCCCCATTGACCTTATGTTTAATATGATTTCCTATTTTTTTTTTAGTCAGATTGAATAACCCCCCCCATCAAAGCCCTCCCCACACAGCAAGCTTTTTTTTTTTTAAGAACCAGGGAAAGCCCCCCCGCTGGCACAGAGTGCAAAAGCCCTTTATTTTTTTTTTTTCAAATCCCCAGGGAACCCCCCCAGAAGAAAGCACGCCACAGGCACATCTTATTTTTTTTTTACTAGGACTACTAACCCCCCCCACCTCCTAATCATAATCCAGGGGGTAAAATTTTTTTTTTTCATGACCTAAAAATCCCCCCCTGGTTTTCAAGAATAACTATGGATTCTTATTTTTTTTTTTTCCTGTCTGTATAACCCCCCCTTCATCTATTGCTTATGTCACTGGAGGTGTTTTTTTTTTTGATGAAGGATTAGGCCCCCCCGTTGGAGGTTTGGGGTAAAATAGAGGATATTTTTTTTTTCTTTTTCTTAGAATACCCCCCCAGCGTCTGTAGTGCTGAAGAGTTAGTTTTTTTTTTTTTTTAAAAAGCCATGTGTCCCCCCCAAAAGGATGATCATTCTGTCTATCTACCTTTTTTTTTTTCTATTAATCATCTTTCCCCCCCTAGCCATTTATCATATATATACTCTGCCGATTCCACTTACTGTGAAAAGCACACATGTGAAAGAATTAAAATAAAAATAAGGAATTCCACTTTTTTTTTTGTGAAAGAAGGATGTCCCCCCCTACTAACAGCATGGAAAAAGTAGTTCTGATTTTTTTTTTATTTAGCGTAAGCTTCCCCCCCAAATAAACAGCCTCTGTAAGACTTATAAATTTTTTTTTTTGATGAAAAGAAGTGCCCCCCCGTATCAGAATGGGAAAATATCCCCTCGTAGTAAATCCTAAAATTTTATTCTTTTATATGAGAGAACCTGTAGCAAAATGTACAGTGTCTTTTTTTTTTTTTTTACAGAAGATGCACCCCCCCTCATCATCTGAAGTTTGTTATACCAATATTTTTTTTTTTAGCAGCAGTATTTAACCCCCCCGAACTGAAGACCATGACCTGCTTCATCTATTTTTTTTTTGAATAACACATTTTTCCCCCCCCTGACAAAACAAAACTGCCCAGTTCTGAATTTTTTTTTTTCCATGCCTCATCTACCCCCCCGTTTTGTATACAGTAGTAGCCCTAGGTTATGGCTCATACTATCACTTCTGAGTTTGGATTCTTTCAACTGAAAGAAAATAGATATCTTAATTTTTTTTTTCTTAAGCAAATAAGACCCCCCCTTGGATCATGACACTGAAAAGTCCATCAATTTTTTTTTTTCAAGCTCCAGTTTGCCCCCCCGGTTGACAGCATCACTAGGGCATTGGTTCTTTTTTTTTTTTCCTTGACATCCATCCCCCCCGCTATGTTCTCTTTTTCTTCCAGTTAGTATTTTTTTTTTTAGCAAATACTTACACCCCCCCCAGGGTTCTTCACACTTCAAAATCCTTATTTTTTTTTTTTCAGAGAAAAAAAATCCCCCCCCTTCTCTAGATACCAAAGTGAAGTTTAAACAGTTAACATTGGTTGAGCAACTAATTTCAAAATATAATGCTGGGTGAATTAAACCAGACATTTTTTTTTTGATAATTTTATATGACCCCCCCGAATAAGCCAAATTAAACTATGTTGATAGTTTTTTTTTTAGAAGAGGGGAATTGCCCCCCCAGAATTGGAAAGGAAATTTCTAGAGAGAGTTTTTTTTTTTACTTCATTTTTGGGCCCCCCCTCTGCCAGGATATGCATTTGTCAAAAGTTTTTTTTTTTTGATATGTGCATTTCACCCCCCCCAAAATGAAAGCGTAGGTACTAAAAGATCTTTTTTTTTTATGTAAGGAGAATTGCCCCCCCTGGGCCAATATGGGAAACAGAGATAGGACTTTTTTTTTTGGCTTAGACCACACTCCCCCCCAGAGGTCAGTTCTGATATGTTTTGAAGTTTTTTTTTTTTGATTAGCTGACTGTGCCCCCCCAGAGAAACAAAGGCATAAAGGCTGACTCCTAGGTTTTAGCTCTGCATATCTAGGTGAATAGTGATGCCACTTGCTAAAATGAGGAAGAAGTTTTTTTTTTGAAGTTTTGCAAGTACCCCCCCATATAAAAAAAAAAAGAAGATAGTAGGAATTTTTTTTTTAAGGGGGGGAATCAACCCCCCCGACGAACCATGAGAGACTATGGACTCTGATTTTTTTTTTGAGGGTTCTAGAGGGCCCCCCCGTGGGGGGATGGGTTAGCCCGGTGATGGGTTTTTTTTTTGACACGTATTGAATGCCCCCCCAGATGTTATATGCAAACAATGAATCATGGTTTTTTTTTTCAAAAACCAATGATGCCCCCCCTGGTGACTAACAACATAATAAAATAAAATTTTTTTTTTTTTTTTGGATGGGAGGCCCCCCCCAAGGAAATTTAGACTTTGGTTTTGAACTTTTTTTTTTTATCAGACATGCATCTCCCCCCCTTAAGTAAGAAAGTGGTGTAGAGGGAGAAGTTTAGAGGAGAGGTCAGGTGCAAATATAAATTTGGGGGATGACCTAGGAGACTTGGATGTTTTTTTTTTTAGACGCATGTAGAGACCCCCCCTGATGGTCTTGTAGGCACAAATGTGTAATTTTTTTTTTTTGGGGCTTCCTCTTGCCCCCCCAGCAGTTTTTGTGAAGAGGCAAGTAGTGGTTTTTTTTTTATCCCTGAACCAATCCCCCCCCCCTGAAGAATGGGATTACAGAAACTATGGTTTTTTTTTTTGCAGGGGAGGGGTGCCCCCCCGTGTGTGTGTGTGTGTGTGTGTGTGTGTGTTTTTTTTTTTTGTGCATTTCTGATCCCCCCCACTCAGGGACGAGATTACCTAGAGTTACCTTTTTTTTTTAGAGGATGATTGCTGCCCCCCCAAACCCAACACATGCTCATTAGAGCCCTTTTTTTTTTTTCCAGCAAACATAATACCCCCCCCAGAGTAAATTTGGGAAGAGCATGAGTGGTTTTTTTTTTACACATCCCCACTCTCCCCCCCTAACAGGAAGTATTATCTTTAGTGGCATATTTTTTTTTTCACACAATTTGAGAGCCCCCCCTTTATTCTAATTTGATCAAGGATCAAATTTTTTTTTTTTTTTAAGCACTTATCCCCCCCCCAGTCCAGAACTCTGAACAGTGTGTTACCTCAATTTTGCAAACAACTGTACTCAAATATTATTATCCACAAGTACATGGGTCAGTTTGTAATTTTTTTTTTTTCTTTTTCACAGGACCCCCCCAAAAGATTGCAGAATCCTTTAGAACAAGTTAATGATGGAAAATATTTACTTGAAAAGTAAGTAAAAAATACCAAAGGAAATTAAATTATGTTTTTTTTTTAAAAGCTTGCAAGGACCCCCCCAAATACCTGGCAAGGTAAACATGAATAAGTTTTTTTTTTAGTTTCGTATGGTATCCCCCCCGTCAGGACCCAGAAATACGGCTCATTTGATTTTTTTTTTGGTAGATTTAAGGCTCCCCCCCCCATGACACACAAGCTGTACTGATTAACAGAGTAATATGATGCACAGAGATGTGGTGCTGTGTCTGAGGGCTTAAAACTTAACAACCCTGTTTTTTTTTTGGCTTTTAATCAATGCCCCCCCTAGAAGACAGTCATAAAATTTGCAAAAAGTTTTTTTTTTTCACTAAGACCAATACCCCCCCCGTTTAAAATAATACTACAGAATGGAACATTTTTTTTTTGAAAAAAAAAGGCAACCCCCCCAGAGATGAAATTTAACAGGTTACAAGTAATTTTTTTTTTTTCAATTTTTAAAAACCCCCCCAATTAGAGCATGTGAGAGATATATTCTGATTTCAATTTGTGAATAGATGTTAGAGGTTTTATGTGATATTAACACGAGACCATGATTTTATTTTTTTTTTAAAAATATTACCAAACCCCCCCACTAATCAAGAGCCATGCATTGTCAAGATAAAAGAAAAAATGAACTATCATTTACTGAGCATTTACAATATCCTCCATATTAGTGAATGCTTACAGATGTTTCCTCATAGAATTCTGATTACAGCCTTTGACATAGGTACTATTTCCATTTTTTTTTTTTTGAAAGAGGCTTAGAGCCCCCCCGCACTTGTCTAAGTATATTTAGCTAAGAGTTTTTTTTTTAGGAACTTGGATGCCCCCCCCCCTCCTGCGCTCAACCACTGGCTAAATCCCAATGCAAAGCCCATGTGGATGTCACCAGTGGCTCTGGTCATCACATTTAAAAAGCACATAGTTTTTTTTTTGGGTGGCTTAGTCCACCCCCCCTCCAACTCTTGATTTTGGCTCAGGTCTTGTTTTTTTTTTCTGTGACGTCAAGCCCCCCCCCGGCTCCACCCCACCCACCACCATGGGGCCTTTTTTTTTTTCTCTCTCTCCTTCTCCCCCCCTGGCCGCTGCTCACTTGCTCTCTCTCTCTTTTTTTTTTTAAAATAAATAATAAACCCCCCCAAAATAAAATAATAAAATAAAATGTAAAATTTTTTTTTTTAATAAAATAAAAAACCCCCCCGTAAAATAAGGTAAAATAAAATAAAATAATTTTTTTTTTGACCTTCCCAAAAGCCCCCCCCGAGGTCAATTAAAATTGTGAGGGTTCTGATTTTTTTTTTAACTATTACAAAGAGCCCCCCCTGTGTAGTTGGAGAAAAGAAATCTCAGGGTTTTTTTTTTGGCTTTCCTTAAACACCCCCCCGAATTTTCCTATTAAGAAGGGACTAAATTTTTTTTTTTTCTCTAGAGAGCATAACCCCCCCCAGTGAGTAGGATTTATGGACAGACAGCTTTTTTTTTTTGAAAAAAAATAACCTCCCCCCCAATGCTGCCTGCCCAACAGAATGGACTTCTTTTTTTTTTAGTGAGATGACATACCCCCCCCACCCAAGAAGACTGAAATGCCCATCCATCTTTTTTTTTTTGGAAAGCATTCCTGCCCCCCCGAACTCTTGGATATGATTCCTCTTTCTGATTTTATCCTAGCTTTGTGAGTCTGGACAAATTATTTAACCCCCCTGAATCCAGCTTCCTCATTTTTTTTTTTGACGATAGTAACACCCCCCCCCAGTCTTAGTGAGAGCATTAAATAAGACATTTTTTTTTTCACAGTGCCTTCAATCCCCCCCCCTTCTCTTTCTGTCCCAGTGGCTATTTGTTTTTTTTTTTTTCAGGTTCATTCTCCCCCCCTGACTCTCAGAATTTGCCATGTAAACGCTTTTTTTTTTTTTTCAGCCCTTTGATCCCCCCCAGTTTCTGGGTTATCTTCAGATTTAATTTTTTTTTTTTTTGTCTAGTCTCATTACCCCCCCTAAATTAGTTCAGTTCTTGCCACCCTCACCGTCATCACTAGCAATATGTAAACAATAATAATTAAAAAGTTTTTGGCTGTGTAAGTAGAATTTTTTTTTTCTATGGAGATTAGGGCCCCCCCGACATGAGATCAGTGGTTCTTCATCCTGGTTTTTTTTTTAATCACCTGGGGGTTCCCCCCCATGGCATAGCCTTGGCATAACCTCCACCCTTTTTTTTTTGAATCTGTATCACTGCCCCCCCAGTCCTTAAATTAGTATATCTTCAAAGCTTTTTTTTTTTGATTCGAGTGAGGAACCCCCCCTGAGAACCAGTGGGCTAGGTGCATTTTAGTTTTTTTTTTGTTATTCAGTAATCTCCCCCCCCTTAATTCTCTTAGGACACACTTTCTCTGTTTTTTTTTTCCCTTTCGACATGGGCCCCCCCGCAAACGGTCAAGAAAGAATTCTTGATACATTTTTGGTGCAAAAAGGTGTTTTTATTAAAGCATGGGGACAGGACCAGTGAGCATAAAGAGCTGCACTGGGGTCATGAGGAGCGATTGATTATATACCTTTAAGCTGCAGGGGGAGGGTAGTTTTTTTTTTAGTCTCTATATGGATCCCCCCCTGCTAAAGAAGACTTACAGGATCCTGGAGTTTTTTTTTTTCTCAAACTAAGGTTCCCCCCCGTCTCTAGCAAAACATCAACATTATTAAGGCAGCCAGGAGTTCCTTGAATGTCACATTCTGCATGTCTCAGGTATTTGTCAATAGGCTGCTTTTTTTTTTGAAATTTAATTTTATCCCCCCCTCTCCTGCCTTTGTTCTCCTCATCACTTTTATCTATTAAATTTGGTTATGCTGGTGTTTCATTATTGATTTTAACGTAAGAAGTGAACTCTTTTTTTTTTTTTCCTTGCTAATTGCCCCCCCCTTTGTATTAAACTTCTCACTAATACCAGCATGTATCTTTCTCAGCTCTCTGCTCTCAGGAATATTTGTGAAGATTCATGGCAGATATGTTTTTTTTTTTCTCCTTCTTCCTCCCCCCCCCCTTCCTTGTTATCCAGAAGCCTGGGGAAGCTAAAAGCTTTTGGAAATGGCCAATCCGCTTTGCATGCGTATTTTGCCTTATCATGATTGAGGAATTCCAGATATGGGAATTAAAGTCTCCCCTCAAAGCACACAGGCCTGTGGGGTAAGCTTTTTTTTTTTTTTTGTCCAGGACAGACCCCCCCCAGCGGCTGCCAGCCCTAACAACCTATGCTTTTTTTTTTAGAGATTTTCCTAGTCCCCCCCCGGGCAGGGCTATGTCCTTGAAAGCTGTCTTTTTTTTTTGAAAAATTGGTGTACCCCCCCCGAGTAGTTAGGCATTTCATTATACTGTAGCTGACTTAGGTGCTGATGTAACTCATCTCAGCTACTTGAAATGACCATAAGTTAGGTGATATTTTTTTTTTAGCAGTTGATCAGTTCCCCCCCCTTGGAACATTACATTTATTCTGAACACTTTTTTTTTTTTGTGGTAGACAGTCACCCCCCCGGGAGGGCAAGCTGCAACTTTATTCTACTTTTTTTTTTTTGCAGGGCCAATCCACCCCCCCTGTATACACATACATGCACATACTCAATATTTTTTTTTTTGTGCCCATAAACAGCCCCCCCATTAGTAAGGCCATTAATTAAGAGCCTGCTTTTTTTTTTATTGTTTTTGATAATCCCCCCCTAACTTAAATAAGACCTTAGGGTGACTGCTTTTTTTTTTAAATATTGAATCAGACCCCCCCTCTGGTGGGAAATGTGTGATTGCAAGTCATTTTTTTTTTTCACATATCATCAGTCCCCCCCCCACAAATAATTATTGATGGAATGAGCTAAAGCTATCCAATTAAACCTACAGGTATTCATAGTTTATAGTTTGTTGAGTTTGTATAAATTGTATAAATTATAACCCCAAATTAGCAAATTTTTTTTCTTTTTATGAAAACTTGAGCTTTGCTTTTTTTTTTTGCATAATTACAGGTCCCCCCCAACCTCACATGTATCTCTATTGCCCAGTTTTTTTTTTTTTTATTAAGGGGTTTACCCCCCCAAATCTTAAAGTATCTTTGCTATAAGGCTGTTGTCCCTACAAGATCATAGACTTGTAAAAACAAGACTTTTCATGCCCATCAACCCTGGATTTTTTTTTTCTGTGTTTCCCCTTTCCCCCCCTCCATCACATTTGTAATTATTTGTTTAATTTTTTTTTTTTCCTAGATTGTAAAACCCCCCCCCAGGGACCATGTCTAGTGTTTTCACCATTTTTTTTTTTGTGTTCTGCATCATTCCCCCCCCATAGAAGACATACAATATATTTATGAATTTTTTTTTTTGGATGAATTAATAATCCCCCCCGAATACAAATGGTGCAAACAAGACTGGTTTTTTTTTTTTCCTCTCAACATCCCACCCCCCCAACCACAAAGCTATATTGTGCTGATGGCACCATCTACCGGCCGCATAGGAATTTATGTAATCTACTACGTGTTTCCCCACTTCTTGGTTATTTTTTTTTTAAGAGGAGAAAATCCCCCCCCCCATCAGCACAATTTTTTTTTTATCTTTTTTTTTTTTTTTCTAAAAAAGCAATCCCCCCCCCTATTATCAGACCAATTTGAATACCTTCCTAAATATTTTCCATCATTCTCTTTGCTCACTCCTACCAAAAATTGCCCTTAAATATCCCATTTTTTTTTTTTCACTCCAAATGCTTTCCCCCCCCTTGCAGCAATGTTTTTCACACTGTAGATTTTTTTTTTTTGATGGTTTGTTAAACCCCCCCCCAGTAAAATATAATTTAAAAAATCTGAAATATAATAAAAGAAATCAACATACATTACATGTAGTTGGGGAAATAATGTTCCCTGAAATTTTTTTTTTTTTTTTAAACACACATGCCCCCCCACGTACCACACACACACCCTTAGCACATGCATGTAATGGATTGGGTTGCCAAAT